CCAGGGGGCCCAGCCCAACTTCAGAAAGGCAGAGAAGGCTGTGGACTTCTGTATCATTGGGGCTCCCCATCTATTGCCGCTTTTCTTTGTGTTTTATCAGAAGTTTGTTGGAGCTACCCATGGTACTGAAATGAGGTTCACCACTTGAAAGCCCTATGGATAGCTCTGATAAAGCTGAAATGCTCCAGTGGATGAATAGCCCTACTGACATGGAGGTCCTCAATTTCCCCTGCAGAAAGGTGTGCCTGAGGGAAGAGAGACAGGCTTTAGACAGCTAGAAGAACTGTTCTCACCTTTTGTTTTAACAAAGGCCTACATGCTTTCAACTGTTTCAGCTCTCTTTTGTGGTAAAATTAATAAAGCTGTGACTCTTATTAATCCAATAGCAGACATCTCACCTGTTTGTTTGCTGCATATGGAAGCAATTCTTTCTTTTGCTAGCTACTTGGGCAACAGTGGAGGAAAGCAAGTGGAGATATGCTGGGGTTTTTTAGAATGGTTGCTGGTTTCACTGTTTGTATTGTGCTTTTACCATTTAAAGAAAACATTGGGCTTTATTGTGTGTCTCAATGTTGTATGCTGCCTTGAAAGGGGTCCTGCCCTGAGAAGTGAGCAAGAAATATTTTAAACAAGAAATAAATTTATAGGAATGCCACTAGAAAACTAGTGAGACTATATGTCATAAAGTAAAGCTCAGACTAATTGAGTAGTCTGCAAATCAGTTGTCATAGCTGGTCACCTGGAATGCCTTTTTGGGTTTTGAGGTTTGTATCAATTTGCTTCTCCTGTGAGAGGTATTTTCAGGGGTAAAGGTGAGAGTTAAAAATGATTGATGGTGATGAAATTTATATCCTGTTCTTTTGTAAAATGCAGCTTTAGTCTGCAGGGCTGGCTGAGCTTGTGTTAATGCAATACCTTTCTGAGGTCAGGCTTCTGTGCTGGCTGTAAAGCATCCTTCACAGTTGGCTGGGAACAGATCTTTTGCCAAGACAGATTTGGAACAAACTAATCAAAAAGTTGCTCTTCAACTGCCTCCAGTGCCTGGAGGCTGTTCCTTGCAGATACTGGATAGAACTCACAAAATGAATAATTTCATAGAAATAGAATAAAACACTATTATGGGCAGTTACCCTACGATATGGTAGATCTGTCTTTTGCTACCATTGTGGTGAAAGAATTGTGGGGCGGGGGGTTATATCTATCGAGTTAGTCTTCTATTTTTGTTGTTCCTCTCAAATGTAGAGGAATCAAATCTATTTCAAAACTCAAAGCACTAGGTGGCTGAAGCGAGCCCTTTGGCAGGTGCTTGCAACATCTTCACATCTTGCTGCCAAAAGCAAGACCATGGCTTGCTTATCAGTTTGAACTGTCATTTTCTGCACTGAATAAGTGTTTGGGGTACCAAGTATTTTATTTAATATATACATTTTTATATTTTCAAGCAGCATTGATAAAAGAAACTTGCTAATAAAAGTAAAACTGGCCTAACCTTAACAATTGAGTTAAGTATTATTTCAGCACCACCTAGTGGCAAACCTCAGCTTTATAAAATAGGGTTCTTTTATGTCAATATATTTTCAGACTTAATCTCTCTCTCTGGCCCTGCTCACCTGCTCCAGCGAGTTAGCATTGGGACCCAAGATTTATTCTCTGGCTTACTGAAGTAGAGATGAGACAGTGTTCTAGGTTCAGACAACCCTGAGTTATTCAGCTGCTCCTGTTGGGAAAACCAAGCAGGAGCAACTTGGCCATGTCATGAGACAACTGGCTTTTTCTTTGCACTTTTATGAAGAATGTCAGACAGGACTAGGCAGATGATTTCTGTCCTCCCAGCAACAGTACATTTTATGAGACTTGCTGCACAGACATGGTTCAGAGGAGTAGCTGAATTAGCCTGTTGCTAAACTAATGGACACATTGGCCGCACCTTAAAGACTGATATATTTATTGCACCAAGGTTTTTATGGACTCAGAACTCAGTCTGTCAGTACATGAAGTAATTAGCCAAGCACTTACTTTTTCATAAAATTAAGACCCAAATGTCAAGCAATGCTAGAGGCAATAGCTGGAGTGCCATATTAGCAGAACACAAAATACATACAGCATACAGTCAAATGGATATGATTCATTCAGCACCAGCCTGACAATCTGTTAGCTAGTAGCCAGTGACTGATCATGTATGGGTATAGCAAGGGTTAAATTGTCCATTGAGTTGTCCTCACTTTTGAAAAATCATGCTATTTTTACTTTGAAGGATAAACAGCTGAGTAGGTCCTGATCTATGGCCCACAAATTTTTCCCACCAATTTTTTCCCACCTCAGGCATAACAACTGGAGGTGAGGTTCAGAGGGAAACCAAAATAGCTCTCAGACTGGATCAGGATCAGGCATCTACCCAGATTTTTTTCCTTCAATCCAGTGTGGTGTAGTGGTCAGAGTGTTACACTGGGACATGGAAGATCCAGGTTTTAGCCTCTACTTAGCCATGAAGCTTTGGTCCAGTCACAGACTCTCAGCCTAAGCTGCCAGAGTTGTTGCTGTAAGTGAGATGTAGAAGAAGAGTGCTTGTAAGCCAGCTTGTGTTCCTTGCAAGAGAAAGGAATGTGACAACAAGAACAACAAACAGCAACAACAGAAAAGAAGCTAGCATCAGCATTCATTTTAAAAGACAAGAATAATATAGCATGTAGGTTAGCTCCAAGATCACCAGTGTAAATCCTGTAGTTTCCACTTAAGCCTTTAAACTCTATAAGGTTACCCCACTCCTGACCTGACCAAAGCATGACTCAAGGATGCAGACAGTTCCCCTCTCCAAGGCACACGCTGGCAGTGTAACTGCTACTCTTGCTTCCCACCTCCAGCTTCTTTCATCAGCAGCTAAGCAGTTTTCACAGGTTTTCCTCTGACTTTTTACTCTTATCAGGGCTGGCAAGCTCCAGGGTAAACGAAGTTTCTTAATTCTTCAGCATCTTAATTTCACAGTTCAAGATGGTCAGTTTCTTGATCTGGTTTTGCATGTTTCGTCAGTCATGATTTACATATCTGTGGCTGTGCTTCAAGGTTAACTTTAACTGTTGGGCAGTATAGATATGAAATACATAAATAAAAATATTGACCCTTTGTAGCTGCTGGCCCAAGGAGACTTTCTCTTCACAGATTTATGCAAACACTTCTATTCAGGCTTTCTATGTATGACTGGGATTACTGCTCAAAAGGCTTAATTTTCTTGAGGTTCATTATTGAAACACTTGGATTCCTGCCAGAAATAGGCAGTTACTTCCTCTGGCTCAAGCTCACTATCTCACAGTTTCTTCCCAAGGATAATCCCAATTTTGATTGCTTTTCAAGTCCAGCTGGCTTTATAAAGCCATCTCTCTTTCTTTCTCTTCTAAGTCACACTGTTTCTTTCTGGTGCCCTGATGAACTGCAGTCCATGAAAGTTTATGCCATAATATATTTGTAAGTCTTCAAGGTACTTTAAGACTCTTTGATGCTATAAATATAGAATTATTTATTCCACATATGGTACATAAAATATTATCAATGAAATCCTTAATCTAAGAGGGGAAATTATTTAAGCACATCAATTTTTGTGGATGCTTTAATTATCTACTTGAGATTAGACACACATGTTGATTTCAGAGGGTTCAGTAGAGTTTAACTCTTCACTGGATTGGGCTGTACATAGGTACATATAAAGCAACTCCAGGGTTGAGAGGGACCCTTCCTGTCTTCTAGTTTAATTTTCCACATCATTCCAGTGTGATCCTCCAGTTGGATTCTAGTAACATTAAAATGGTGGATTCCCAAATCAGGCTGTGCACATACATACAATTCCATGCTTCATACAAAGTACATTGTGTGAAAAACAGACAGTAGAATCAAACAAGTTTTATTTAAAATAATTACTGTTGCAATTAGATGCTTCAACTTGGTTTTGTTTTTTTTTTGGCTCTTTCAGTCACCCAGATACTATCAGATTGTATGCATCTCTACTCACAAGCAAATTCCACAGAATGCTCTTAGCACTAGCAGTTAAAAGGCATTGTGTAGTTATGCCATCTTTTACTTCTCACTGGATTTTCTGCTTTATGGGAAACAATGGGAAAAGCCAAGAAATCATGAAGACTTCTGTGAATGAACAGAAAAATCTCAAACTCCACCCCATATGTATATCAGAATTGACCAATCTTAGTTGACAATGATGGAACCTGATGCAACTGTCAGTTTTCACAAAGGCTTATGCCAGATTTTTTTTAAAGTTTTGAGTCTTTAAGGTACCACAAGCCTGTTGTTTTTAATGAAAGAGCATTGTCGAGCTATTTGGTCTTTTCGTCCTTAATGAAATGATGTGATACACTGCATGATGCTTTTGGGTTCCTAGTGCTAGGAATCCTCCATCTGGAAGCAGCGTTCTTCAAGTGTGCAATCCTATTCATGTTTAAACAAGGGGAAAAAATCCTACAACAGAAAGCTGAGAACTACAGGAATTTTTCTCTGTATTGTGACCTAACAGTATGCATAGGATAACCGCTTGAAGGATAACGTCCCTGTTTAATCGCTCTTTCATACCGACAGTCAGTAAGGCAGTAAAACCGTGCACTTTCGTAATGTGCATTGTGCAAAAAACCAAAAAGGTGCGTAGATGGGGCGAGAAGGCTTGAATGAGCGTTGCCGATTGCCAGTATGGACCCAAGCTGCTTCACATCTGGAATAAACGGCAATCAAGTGGAAGGATTGTTATTCCAGTTTCACGCATCGGAAACGGGCGTCAACTGCGCCCGCCCTTCGGTACCGAATTACTCGAAGGAGACGGGCGGAATGGCAAAGGCGAAGTGCGCACGCGCCAGCGACCCAGGCAGGGGCAGGCGGTGTGAGGGGGGCGTGGGAGAAGCGAGCAGGACTTGGTCGGGGAGCCACTCGGAACGGAGTGGTCCTCCTGCTCCGTGACCTCGTTGCCACGGCAACGCCCGCGGCCGGAAGAACTCTTCGTGATCCCACCCCCTCCCCAAGCCGCGCCTCGCTTCGCTGGAAGGCGAGGCTTGCGCTGTCCGGCGGGAGCGGCTCGTTCGCCGCTGCTGAAGATGGCGGACGATGGGGCAGCCGCCGAGCAGCAGGAGGAGGAGGAGGAGGCGGCGGCGGCGGCGGCGGGCACAGCTGAGCGGCGGCGAGAGAAGGGGCCGCGTGGAAGTGGTCGGCCCCCCACCGTTCGGGACCTGCAGGTACGGAGGGCGGGAGGAAGGGCGGCGGCTGCTCAGCACTGCGAAAGGGAGTAGGTGATCAGAGGGACCTGGCAGTGCCCTCTCCCCTTCCTGACCGTTGCTCCGCCTCAAAACCTCCAAGCATAGGTATGTCGGTGGAATGAGCCATGTTGCTTTTGAGTCGCTCGGATTTGGGACGTGTAGAGATCCAGGGCACCCCCGCCTGGCTGGTGTAAGTAAGAGGACAAAATAGGAGCGGCCTCTTTCTGGAGGAGATTCTGGTAGGTTCATTCCCTGCCGATGAAGTCATTTCTTGGGATGTTGTTTTCTTCTAAAACGCCGATCTTGGTTACTCACTTTTCCTTAGGTAAAATTTCTGCCAGTCCCTTAAGGAATCTGTACACTCCGTTGCAAAGTCTTGCTTGTCCAGGCGATGGTTTTTCATTTTAAATGAATACATAGAAACGCCCCTCCTTAGAGCATCATCATATAATAGAATGACTAGTTGAAACTCTTCTGACTGTGCCCTAATTGCTCAGAAAGCTTCATTCGATTCACTGGTCTTTACTGCCATTAAAAAGTTTATAGGCTTGTTGAGAAAGATTTTGCTCAACTCAGCCGCATTAGCTTTTGTGCTTTTGAAATTGATAGTAGTGTATCTCAGGCTTTTCGCTTGCAATACTCTGAAATATTTTGGCTGAATATTTTCATGTTAAAGATCATTTCTAAATTGATGGTCTTTCATGGTACATAAATATCAGAATCACAAAGTATAACCATGGTGCACAAATATTAGATACAGATTTAAGAACTGGCTTTTCCCCCAAGCAGGCACCCCCAAAATATTAAAAATAAAGTTAACACAAATCAGAAGTGGTGTTTTTAGCGCTACTGAGCTTAAAAAGGTCAAAATTAGTTTGTATCTTTTGAAACTCTGTAGCATTTATGTGTGTCTTGCCTTTCACCAAGTTCCGCATTGTGTGGGTTGGGGAGTTTGACAGGCAGCATGTTGCTCACCTGTGTTACAAGTAATCAGTGCAAGCTAAATCATGTCTGATCACTTGTTTGCTTGTTTGTTTCTGTTTGCTATGTTTGCCCTTGCAATACTGTTTTATATTGAGTGCTAAGTACTGGTCTTTCCTGACTTTAAAAGTTTTCTGTTGGCAAATAAGTATTTTTTCCATATGGGACTTTAATAGAGAAATAGTTCTTATATCCTTGGCTTCCCATTGATACCTGTGTTTGAGCAGTATGAATTATCTGTAACCTTTTAAATGCTAAGATTGAATGTAAATTTATTTCTTGTCTAGTAGACATTGACTTAAACATCTAATGTTCTATATAGCTAGCACTGGCTGGTTTATATGAAGATGAAATTAAAAGACAGCCATCACATCCAGATAAACCAACGACTAGAGTAGCCAGTTATCCAAGACTAACAGTGCAAAGGTAAATAAGGACTTTTTATTAATTACATGTGTAGAATAGTTTAAATGAACAATGACAGTTCCTATAAATATGGATCTCAGAAATGTTAACAATGAACCAGCATTTAGATAATGTTTTCAATACAGAGGTGTGTGTTTAACTGAGGATGAGAACCTATGTTCCTGCATGACTCGAGCCAACCATGGGTTAAATTAATAACCCATGATTGGCCTTTACATAGGAACTGGGTTGTTATTTACTAATTTTTCTTGGGATATAGCAGAAGTTGGGATATAGCAAAGTTATTCTGAATATAATTATTTGTAATATTGGTGGTAGCATTACATAAATGAAATTTTAAATACTTATTTTTTGACTGACTTCTTCAGAAGTTTGAGAAAACCAGAAAGAAGTATGAGTGATGACAAGGATAACCAAAGGTATTGTAAAATGAACCTTTAATTTACCCATAAGATACATAAAGGGGATTTTAACATTGTTTATTCCTTTTTTCTTAACTTACCTTGTTAGTTGTCATTGTAACTCATATCTACATGCCTTGGTTCTATACCTGTAACATCTAAGAGTTACATCTGGAATTGGAAATAGGTTTCAGACAGCAACGCTAATTTCTCCTTTTGCCTAGCATTTTTGTTTTGCTTTGTTCTTGTCTTTTGATCCCTTGAACAGTTTGGAGGAGGGGCAGGGAATGCCTTTGAGCATTGCCACTTACTTTTATGAAGAGCAAGAAAACTCATGGGCTTTAAAAAGTATAGCTAACTTCAGAATTTCTGATTCCAAGATGCCTTCTTTTCAGCTGTTAGTGGTGCAATCCTGTGGCTGCTAGAGAGAGGCTAACTGGCAGTAGATAATTCAGAATCCCAGTTCCAACTTGGAAGCTTGAAGTCGAAGAGTTTTGCATGACAGGGAGGTAACCTTTGCCTTTGTGCTTCTCCTGCCTGTCATAAGATGCCCATAATCCTTGGAGTTTACAGGGTTACCTGCAGCCTCATTGGATTGCACCCTAATAGTATGGAATATGGTTCTCTTTGATAATTTCTTTAAAGGTATAAGCAATTAGTATTATATCAGTACCTTAGCACTCATTCTCTGAAACTCCATAGAACTACAAATCAGGAAAACGTCAATCTTTTTAGATTATCAGTGCCTACTGAAAACATATCTGCTCCATGCCTATTATGGAGTTACAGAGGCATTCATAGGAAGGCAATCTTATCGTCTGCATTAAGACATTTTTTGTATATTGCTTAGAAACTTCTTTTATGTAAATGTTTCAAATATATCATTTAATTAATACTGTTGCTTCTTTTTAAAAAGATTTTACTCGGGTGATTCAGAATACAGAATTGTTGGACCATCTAATATTACTTCTAGTAAAATTGTTGATGAACTTTTCAAAGAAGCAAGAGAACATGGGGCAGTGCCTTTAGATGAAGTATCAAGAGCCTCCGGAGATTGTCATAAAGCTAAAGTGAGTACATGCAGTAATATTTATGGGGAAATGGTCCTTTTAATGCAAAATGCTTTGTTTAAAAAAGTGTTTGATTCCTTTTTTTAAAAAAATGTTGTTAAATATTTTGATTACAAAAATGAATTTGGTAACTAGTAAAGAAAGTTTGTTTTAATATATGTGCCTGCGCTTTAATAGCTTTTCTGCAAGACAGGAAATGGCAGCGAGTGATGTTTGTTTGTTTGTTTGTTTATTTATTTATAGAATTTCTATGCCGCCCCATTCACCAAAGCCTCGGGTGGCTCACAATCATAAATAAATAAACACAATATAAAACAGTATAATTTAAGTCGCCCTGGCCAAAGAATAAAATAAATAATATTAACAATTAAAATAACGCTTGAATAAAAAGGTCTTCACCTGGCGCCGAAAAACAAATAACGACAAAACAAACAATAACAAATACTTATGTTCAAATCATTGCATGTATTTGGGGTGTGGGGACATGTGTTCAAAAGGGACATTTAGCAATATTAGTGTGCCAGCCACAGTTGGCCACAGTAACCAGGTACATGTTCAGTCAGGATTTGCTGACAGTCTCTGACAGCTATATTACATATGTTGTCTGGTTTTACATGAAATCATAGTTTATGCTGTTTTCTCTGTTCATCAGCACTTAGTTCCATCAGTTCACTCCTATCTAGAATATCTGAAGTGGAGTGATAGCTGGAACTATGGCTTACAATCTGATCATCATGGGAGATGGTACTTTGCAAGCCTATTTCAGTTGGATTCCAATTTCCTGCCCAAACACTGACTGGTTTGGCATGATGTCTGAATTCAGCTTTTGTATTACTGCAGGAACATTTTACCAAACCCCCTTTTCCTTGTAACAGCTAAAAATACTGGGTTGGAGCTAGATTTTGGTCTTACTTAGAGTAGAACCATTAAAATAAATGGGACAAGTTAGTCACGAGTAATCTGTTCTAATCCTTTTAGTGGATCTGCTCTCAGTTTCACCAAGTCTAGATTCAACACACTTGGTTTCTGATTTACAAAATGTAAACATATTTTGCAACATATTTGCTGGCTAATTACAAAGTATATAAAGACATTTTTCTTTATTTCCCATATGGAAGTGTCAACGGATATAGTCAGTGTTTGCATTTAATAATTACAGTGATTTAGATTATGCAATTTTAATTAATTGACTTTAATCTACTGCTGTTTCATACTACACCAATCTATATTTTAACTATTTTACAGTCATTCTCTGGTGGTGGATACAGATTAGGAGATTCCACTCGGAAACGCTCTGAATATATATATGGAGAAAATCAGTTTGGGCAAGATGTAAGTATAGTTATGATGAAGAAAATTTGCTTTGACACATAAGAAATGCTTAACTATTTTAAGCCTTAGTTGTATACAGTAGTGTTATCCCACTGACAAAAGCAGTTCTACCAATAGAACCAAGAGAGTGGCAGTTTCTCCTTCGCGCCAGCCCCCACTCCTGCATCTTCAAAAACTACCTTGTAGGACTGGGAAACCCTCTGGAGCATATTTTTGGTAGCACAAAAGTCTGCAGTGATAAGAAGAGAGGGAGAAAATTGTGTTGCGCATCCAGCTATTATTTATAAATAGGAGCTCAGTCCTGTGCATGTTTAGGCAGAAAAAATCCCTATAGCTCCTAGCATGTCCCATGTCCGGGGTATGTTTTTCTGTCTAAACAGGCATAGGATCATGCCCTAAAGGAATTAAAATATGCTATACACAATTTCAGCACTTTGCTTTCTTACTATAAACAAGCAAAAGGATTTGTACCTAATGATATCATGCCGAGTTTCCTTCATTCCTGTTCCTGTCTTTGCAAGCTATCCTTCCCTGAAAAGATATTTACCTTGTCCAGTAGCTACATCATACAAACGCAAACACTTATGCATAGAGCTCTGTCATGTGCCATTCCATTCTCTTTATTGCTGATGGATGTCCCATATGCACAGTGTAGAATCCTATGCCAGCACTTAGATTTGCCAAACAGAGTGAATCAGCTCTTGTTTCCAAATAGCTATAGAGGCAAAGTAGAGCCCAGCTGAATTCTGAATGAGAGCCACTGTGTTTTTTTGGTAAGAGGCAGGTGGTACAGGATCATTTTAGACAAAGGTGTTCTAATACTGGAAAACAGACCAAGATGAATATAATGATAAAACACCCAGTGTTTGCATTCTTTCTTTCTTTTTTTTTTACATTTTCAAAAGCCTTTTGATTCATCCATAGGTTCAAATCTTGCTTAAACTGTGGAGGAATGGTTTCAGCTTAGATGATGGAGAGCTGAGATCTTACACAGATCCAGTAAATGCTCAGTTTCTTGAGTCTGTTAAAAGAGGGTAAGTTTATAGTATTTGAGTCTGCAGGAGGGGTTTTGCCAAATATATAAATGTCTTGACCACTGAAGAAATGAACCATGAATGTCATGCTACTTGTAAGCAGGTAAACCAGGCAAAAGAGGAGAGGTTTACCTTGCTTTTGCAATAATACCTGTTGTGAGCCGCCCTGAGGCTTTGTTGCAATGGGGGCGGCGTAAAAATGTTTTAATTAATTAATTAATTTTGATATTCACTCCCATATTTCAGAACTTTGATCTGGCAGAGGTAGAAAATAAAAATCTAAATAGTATTTCTTAGCACTTCTCTAGATAAAAGCTAGTATTTTTTCTTCTGCTTCCTGGTTTGGATCCAGTTTTGACCTTTGAGGACTTCCTCCATTAACAGAAGGGACTGATGTTCAACAGACATTTCCACCAGAAGTAGGCAGGACAGTCATGCAAACAGATGTACCAGTATTAGGTAGTCAAGTGGGAGGAGCAGCAAATTGTGCTGTTATCTCCACCCCCTTCAGTTGCCCACCCGTCTTTCATACCTTCTGCCCATTTTCTTACGGCATTTATGATATGTATGTATGATTTTAAAAATAAATTTCTCTGCTTTGTTGCATTTATATAAAGATGTAGAGAGAATTGAGGTGGCAATTATCCCACATAAAATTCTCTCAGACAAGTGACTTTAATATTTAGGGCAATGTTTGCTCTGTATATTCTTGCAAACGTTTATTTGCTTGTTTGTTTTGGTTTTGTTTCTACTATTAAGAGAGATTCCTGCAGAACTTCAGCGATTGGTGCATGGAGGCCAAGTTAATTTGGATATGGAAGATCACCAAGAACAGGAATATGTAAGGCCTAGATTGAAATTCAAAGCTTTCAGCGGAGAAGGTCAGAAACTTGGAAGGTTAGGGGTTTTTTATTTTTGTTTTATAATGAGATAACTTGTACTGCTGTCTTGCTTGCAGTTGAAGAGGGGAATATAGAATGATCTATGGTATTCTATCATGCAGGCTGTGGGTGGGAAACCTTTTAAGTCCAAGTCCAAGCTGAATTCCAATCTGGGTAAGATCTGTGAGTAGGGCATTGCATCTGCAGGTGGAACCAAAGGCAAAATAGACAGGGCCAAAATTTATTTTTACCAATGTAAGCCTACTCAGAAGAAGTCAGGACAAACCTCTGTATTTTTACCCTAAAGTAAGCAGAATGAATTACTCAGAATTACTTTCAAATAGCGTCCTAAACACACATGCTCTGCATGTCTCCTTAGAAGTGATATGCACAGATGTAAGTAGGGCAGCCTCTTCATGCCTACTCAGAAGTAAGAACCACATACTTCCAAAATAATTAGGACTGACCCACTCAACAGCCTCCTCTCTGCCCCTTCTCCATCAGCAGCTGATTAGGAGAAGAACTTTGCTTACCATTGAGAAAGGGAGACTTTTTGCAGCATTGAACAGGGAGCATCTTCTCTCCAGTTGTCAGCTGCTTTAGGATTTGGGCATGGGAACTTTACAAAGGCATGTATTGTAATCAACATTGATCGTGTTGATGAATTTATTTGCCTCCTTCACTTAATTCTATATGTCCTCGAGTCTCCTAGTTAAGTATTGAAAGATGTAGTATTAGAAAAATATATATACTAATAGAGAAAACCTAGGTATGTCTGTTCAGATGTATGCCCCACTAGGTTCAGTCAAACTTACTGCAAGATAAGTATACAAGATTGCAGCACAGGGCTACACTCTTGGAAGTAACTGCACTGGCCATGGTGAGAGTCCCATGACAATCCTTAGATATTAATTTAGGGTTCTTTAAGAGTTGTTTTCTTGATGATTATTTATTTAAAACATTTCTATAATGTACTAAATTAGCCTAATGGCACTTGGGATAGCTTACAATTTAAAATAAACAACAGAAATTAATAATAATAATTAATTACAATAATAATCCATAAAGTGATCAACAATAACAATGATAAAAAGGCAATAAAACTAAGTAAAATAAACAAATTCTGTAACACATTCCATAAAGAGCCAGTGTGGTGTAGTGGTTAAGAGTGTGGGACTGGGACTCAGACGATCTGGGTTCAAGTCCCCGCTCAGCCATGGAGCCAGCTGGGTGACTTTGGGCCAGTCACAGACTCTCAGCCCAACCTACCTCACAGGGTTGTTGTTGTGGGGATAAGATGGAGCAGGAGAGATGATGTAAGCTGCCTTGAGCCCTTTGTAGGAAAAAGGCAGGATATAAATCCATAAACAAACAAACAATCTATCATCAAATAAAACCAAGTAATTCACACTGCCTTCATAAAAATATAAAATAATAATAAAATTCAATAGTTAAAATAGTTTGAGAATTTTAAAAATGGTGTTAGCCTGGCACCTAAAGGCTAAAAGTGTTGGCACCAGGTGTACCTAGCTTCATAGATGGGGCACCACAGCTGAGAAGGCCCTTAGAAGGCCCTTCTCCTAGTGGCCACCTCCTTATAGTCTTCAGAGAAGGGCCTTCTACAATGATCTTATGGTCCAGGCAGGTATATGTGGGAGGAGATGTCCCATCAGATATCCAGAGCCTAAACTGTTTAGGGCTTTATATGTTGGAATGAGCACCTTAAAGCAGGCCCAGACGTCAATTAGCAACCAGTGTAGATGACTTAATTCTAGGGTTATATGTTTGTGCTTTGGTGTTCTAGTTAGGAGGCAAGCTGCTCTATTTTGAACCAACTGAATTTTTGAGACCATTTTCAAAGTGAGCCACATGTAGAGCGCATTACAGTAGGCCAAATGAGAGGTTACCAGGGCGTGGATCACTGTTGTTCTGCTGGTCTCGGTAGGGATGGTGCTGGATGGTAAACCAACCAAAGATGATAAAAGGCACTTCTGGCCACCGAGCTCACCTGATGTTCCAGGGACAGCTAAGGGTCCAGAAGCACCCCAAGCTCCTTACTCTGTCCTTTAGGGGAGTACAACCCATCCAGGACTGGTTAGATATCATTTATCTAGACAAAAGGCAATTATAATGGCAATAATATAGCTGGCATTGCTAATTAAAACAAAATTCAACTGCTATATTCCTTTGGATCAGCACTGAACGTGACCTGTGCATCCTTTTAGAGTTGGGACAAATCTTAGTGAAATCCATTCCTCTAGCATTTGCAGATTTCCTCTCATGCTTGGTTCCATATTGCAAAGCAAGCCAAGCCAAGCAGACGTCTGCAAATGCTCACAAAATGAAGGCTGTGCAACCAGCAATATTCTTCTGCATCAGGTGCAGCTACACAAATGGCTGCTGCAGCTGGCAGGGAAGAAGGATGCTGCTTGCACAGCAGTTGCCTGGGGCTCCATACCTGGCAAGCCCCATTGAACCAAACTTCTTCCAGGTCAGGTGCAGAAGCCCCAATGGCACCTACATGAGACATGAAAGAGGGCCGCTGCTTGTACTGTGCTCAAGGGGTTCATGCAGCTCAGTTCCTGGTGAGCAACCCATGAACCTTGAGCATGTTTGCCAGCAACTCAGACTCAGGGATGCTGCAAAGTGGAGTCAGTTCCAGAGAATCTGACAGACTCCCAAACAGATTCCTCACACTTACTTAGTTCTTTTATTATTGAATGGTGCCTGGTTATAGTAACTATTTATAAAATGATTCAGAGAAATCATAACTGTCAAATTATTTAGATAAACTGGTAAAGGATATTGTTTGAGGACAGTGGGGATTTTTTGGATTCCCAGTTCTGATCAGAGCGAGGGCTCCAGCCTCAGAGCTGGGAATTGGAACACTGACATTCCACCCAATGCTTCCAAGCCAGCACAGAAAGAACTGCACTAGCTGCTTTCAGATCATAAGTGCATACTCAGAAGGAGATCAAAGGAGGATGCTTGCAAGGATGGGAAGAGACTGGCCAGAAAATGAGATATCCTGAAGCTGCCCTAACCTTTTCCCCTCCCAGTTCTTGACATTCCAGCTAGATGAACAGAAAAACCCATCTAGGGAAATATTCAGGGTTGGAGAATGAGAACAGTATCACCTCTGCTGCTCCTCCCGCTTTACAATGTATATCTGTAAGGGTCTGAATTCAGTGGCTTCCCTTCGGATTGTACCCTTAATTGTTTCAAGAAGTCTTTTTAGGGGTGGAAATTTCTTGTACCTAAAAGCAATGTTAATGTTTAGCACTGAAGCACCTTCCAAAATTACCTGTGTGGGGGCAGGTTCTATCTATAAGATATTGAAATTAGACACAGGCATCAGCTTTATTCTGTTACAGTAGACCCTGGAGCAGTCCATATTGAATAATCACTTCATTCTACTTTGCTACTTGCAAAGTTTCACTTCATTGAACTCACAAATCTGGAAATTTAATGGAAATATGTATTTTTTCAAGTAAAATATGTGTTGAAAGCTCAATTATGGTCTGGGAATTAAATGTGAAAAAATATAACTACCCATGCCTATTTAGTCAAAATAAGTTATGTTTTCATTCTCATCTGGTATACCAGTTCTTTAGTATTTTTCACACACTGAAGTAAACATATCTATATATCTTTATTTTAATAGCAGAAGCCAATAGCAGACAGTACCCAGTTTGTGGGAACTTTCTCCCTCTAAGCTGAAGTTTTTGTTTCTATCAGTGTCTCTTATCTGGGCAGTTAGAAAACTTTGCGAACATTGTAAAACATTTCTCTTGGTTAACCAGGCCAGCTGATCATTAATTCTTTGCCCACAGTCTGCCCTTTTTCCAGAAAAATGTTACCCTTCTCCATGGATTCTGGCTAAGCCTTTCCCCCAAATCTGGCTTTTTTCTTCCCCTCAAAACGTGTACTCAGAGAAAATGAAAAAGTGACATTAAATGTGTTACTGTGAATGAATGCATGAATAGATAGCCAAAGGAGGAGCAGGATCTGGAAGATGGCAGGAGGTATGTGAGAGTTTAACCCTTCACTACATCCCAACAGTGCATTTTGCATTGAGAGGAAAGCTTGTATCTCATCACCATCATCATCTGCAGATAACAGAATTGGGTGTTTGTGTGAAATTTGGTTGTGCGTATGTACTGTCTCTTTGCAATCCCATTTAGACACTTAGGTTCATGCTGTTTAATTGGTGATATACTGTGTTTTCAATAAGCTCTTAAATAACTATCTATCCAATACAAATACATAAAAGCATGGGACGACTGATGCACCATGAAAACATAATTTAGGGCACAATCCTATGCATGTTGTGATGGAACAAAGTCACACAGTTCACAGCTAGGAAATGCTAGGAGTTGCCGAACATTTAGACACCACACAAACACCTCAATTATACTTCTGAAATGAAGAAAGCTGAAGGGAGATGGTAACAAGTAGTGGATTCTTGTGTGAAAGAACTGTGAGCTCAGTTCAGTGCTGGTACACGGAATAGGTTCCTGGCAGTACAAGTCTTTAATTCTGCCTTTTGCGTCTGGCTCTGCATGGTGTTCTAGTAAAAAAAAAACCAAAATAGATCTCACAAGACTGAATTGTACCTTCCTTTGCTCTAGACAAGCAAGCTCCACAAATTTCATTTGAAGCTACTTGTAAAGAAATGCCCGTTTGATTTGCCAGTTTGGGTTTTCATAATTTATTCCATGCATAGTATATATTTAATTTTGTTTTAGCCTTACACCTGAGATTGTCAGTACACCTTCATCTCCAGAAGAAGAGGAGAAACCTTTTCTTGATGCTGCTATTTTGATAGATGACTCAATGCCAACAACCAAGATTCAAATTAGGCTAGCAGATGGAAGTCGTTTAATACAACGATTTAATCAAACACACAGGTAAGTTTAGCTATTTTGCTTGATTCAACATTATTATAACCACTTCTCACATAAACATTAATGTTAGCATTCAGAGCTAATATCCATTTTGTGTTTTCTTAAGTGCACTGTGTATTCTGTTGAGCTAACTAAAACAAGCCTATTTATATTCTTGCCAACAGGATTATAGATATTCGAAACTTTATTATCCAGTCTCGCCCCTTGTTTGCCACTACTGATTTTGTTCTTCTGACCACATTTCCACATAAAGAGCTTACAGATGAAAGCCTGACACTGCAAGAGTCAGATATACTGAACACTGTGATTCTTCAGCAGCTAAAGTAAATCTTGAATCTATCAGTGCAATATGGCTTCTGTGAATGGATAATGTTCCATATTCTACAACAATACTTCCAAAAAAGGGAAAAAAGACAGAAAAAAACACTATTCCACTTAAGTATGTCACTTGGTTTTCAATGCTGTTCTGTCTTCCAGTAATGATATTCTGAATTAGAATTCAGAAAGTTTTGTTAACAAATGTTGAGTTTTTTGTATCCTAAGCTTCACACTCAAGCTGGTGTGAATTCAAGTACTTTTATTTAACAGGGGAAGGCAATAAAAAGGAATAAACTGTCTGACAATTTATAGGGATGTAGAAACAATGTAATGATGGAAATAAACCCCCTTTTCTGCAGACATATAAGATTTGGAACTATGGAAAAACATTATGCTGCATCAGCTAATAGCCATTAAGAATTTCAATATATCAGTTGAGATTCATTCTGTGACTTGGAAATATTCTGTTCATTGTTTGATGTCTTCCATATATCTAGCATGATTTGACACTTTTTGTAATATTGTGCTGGTGAGATATTTTTTATTCTCTCTGAGTTATTAATAAGAGTATCTTAAAAGAGATTGATGAATAGATATAAAATATTTGCATTCTGATTCAGCCCTGTTGCAAAATATGTGCTTTAATTTTTGATATAAAAGAAAAACCTTAGTAAAGTAATCTGTTTTTAAAAGAGGAATGACAGAAATGTTTAAATGAGATTTGTGCTTGTATTAAAAATGTGAGTGTCATTGATGGCTAGTTATGGCTGTTCTGCCACTCAAACCCAGCCATTTTATGTGGATCAGATGCTACCATAGCCACTTAGTGCATTCCTTTCCGTGGAGATACCCAGTCCATGCCCACATTATTTCTGACATTTGGATTGGATTCACCCATTTAAATGACTGGAAAAGCTTGACCACTGGGTACATTGGAGAGGACAAAACATTTAAATTAGAAGTGGATTTGTATGACTGGCTTCTGCTTTCTTAGTCTGGATTGTATTTCCCATACTGACCAGCACATCTGAGTTATTTCCCATAAACTCAAATCATGATTTGACTAATCTCTGGTAATCCAGATTAAGAAGGCTTTACTGGTATACCAAACTATGACTTGTGTTCATAATTATCCTGTAATATAAATGAAGAAGGTCCACAAACAGTTGGGATTACACAGATCAGATTGAGATTAGTTCTATGCAGAAGTACATCTCCTTGCTAATTGCAACTCCTTCCATGTCTGGGCTTATATGGCTTCTTTAAAAGTGAAGGGATACAAAGAAGAGAGAATTCATTTGGTAGGAGCCATCTATACAGACCGCAAAGAATGGCTGGGTACTAATCCATGTTGCTATAGCTGTTTCCCAGATAGCCTATAGCCATTTGTGCGCACAAATCTTATTACTGGGAATTTGACAGCATATGGGTCACACCACTAAGTCTATCTAACTGTATGTACAATTAACACCTTATCTTTGGATTAGCATATGTGGTTATTTGTCCAGTATTCTGTATACAATGTAACATAAATACAATTTGAGCAACACAGCCTTTAAGATTGTGAAGCCTTGCCTAAGGTGTTATCTTGAAAAGCTACTTAGAAAGGTAACCTTTTAGACATTCTATTTATATTCATGTTGTTTGAAACTGATCACAAAATTACTTTTAAGGGTAGTTTATTGCTGCTTTTCATAGCAAGGACATAGAAGGAAATATGTTCTGAAAGAAATGAGAGTCCATTTAGATAAGCCTCTGAGCTTACTTTTTTCTGAGTAATTTTTTAGTTTTGTAAACCTTGGTTATTTTCTAGGCAGTACATTTTAGTTTAGCTTCTTACCTTGGAAGCTGGCAAACGCATCTCACACTGTTCAAAGTATTGCCACATTTAAATAAAAACAATTGAAAAGATTTCATGGAAAGCAAAAGAAGGTTTTGTTAGTTGGATGTCTGCATGATTTAACTTACCACAAATTCCCTTTGTGTGCTAATAAAGCTTATGTTTTAATTTTAGTGTTTCTATATGTTTTTATACTGGTTTTACTTTTTTACAAAAGTGAAGAAGCTGTTGTTTCCATGTGTGCTTGCCATAAACTGAAGGAACAAACAGGGTGAGCCCTAGGATAGTAACTGCGCAGTCTTATACGTATCACTTAAGAGGTAAGTACCATTGAGTTTAATGGGGTTTGCTCCTAGGTATAGGGGTGGCAACTATAATAGGCTTTTGCTGACTTGGAAGACAACAGGGCTTGAGTTAGCATGTAAAAAGTCGAAAGATAGTATTGTGAGACAAAAGTCCTTTGTATCCACTGCTGGAGCAGAAAATGTTGCCTATGGAAGACATTTGAAGTTCTTTTCAGACTCATTCCATCTTGTTTTAAGTCAGCTGACCTCATTTCCCTTTCCTATACCTTTTTGTGAGAGGCTGCTATATGAATCCAGCCTAGTCTTTGTGTTCTTGAAAGAGGAAGGACTGCAGTCTTCCTGGTTTAGATTCACTTACGTTCTGAAAATGCCCTGATTTTGACACAGCATTTGCAATAAGAGGGCACTTGTATCACTGGCCTGAAGAAATACTGCTCAAAAGAAAATCCATTCTGCTTTTTTGTAAGACTGTCCTGAAATCTCAGTAGTGGATGGGATGTAAAGGTAATTAATTAATCTTCAGTATCAAATTAAAGATGACTGCTTTTATTATGGCTTGCCTTCACCCCCAGGGGATCCCTTTTAGTCAAAGCAAATATAGCAAACATATCATGAAATAAAGTTAAATACAATCCACCGTTAACAGATAGTTCTTATACATGATCTCTTGTAAACTAATTCTTGAAGCTGTCCAATTCATCAGTTAAACAGAGATTTCAATTTTAAGTAGAGATAATACTTTACAGATAATACTAATAAAAAGTGTCATCCAACATGGAAGTTGTTTCAACCTGAGGAATATATGTGAAAGTTATCACACAATTGTGGAATAATTATTGCAGAAATACAGTGGTTACTGCCATTGTTATCATGAAAATTCCAATCACTGTACATTTATCTTGTACAAAATGTATGTATTTTTTCTGATATAATAGTAATAGATATTTTGGATTCAAAAATATAGTTATGATACCATCAGAAATATTTCTGAGGAATTCCTACTATAAATTTTAAGAACTTTAGTTGGAACCTGCATTATAATATCACTTTCACTCTGAATGGAACAGGATTCAGAGTGTTATTTAACACCCTATTTAGGGTATTATTCTGCCTTTAACAGCTGCATGCCAGAGTGGTTTTTTTATTCATAGTTCCATTCAATGATTATCTGTCTACCAAGCAACTGTTAACTGTGAAATCCATTAAACCTGGTACATGAGTACTTCAAAGCAATTTATACCAATGATGGGAAGTCAGTTCAGTACATGCTGTGGATGTCAATCCCAAAACTTTCTGCATCTGAAGATTGCACCTAACGATAGTACAAGAAGAGCATACACACAAATGGATTAAACATCATTTCAGAATCCAGAAGGGAAAGTGCAATACTTAAAACCAACCTTCCTTCCTTCCAGGATTTATATGCTGCTGCAATAGCCCCTATCTGAACTCATAATATAAAAACAACATTCTAAAATCAATAAATTAAATCAACATATTCCAATCCAATTATGAATATATCAAATTATAATATAAAACATTACATAAAATCATTTAAACTAAAATTGACTAAAACCAACATAGGGTCAATTTTAAAACCAGATAGCCATTAAAATCTATTGTTGAAATGACTGAAGAAAAGTTGAGTCTTTGCCTGGTGCCAAAATGCTAACAGCATAGGCACCAGGCACACCTTTCTGGGGGGCTTGTTCCAGAGGTGGGTGCAACTACCAAGAATGCCCTTCTACATGGATTGTACCATGCATCCTCTACATGGATTGCACCATGTATTCCATGGTTTTATTAACTAAAATGGCAGAATTCATACTGCTAAGAATTGCCTTGTTCTCACCATGCTTATTCTCAAATATATATCTGTAAGAGATAAAACTCATACCAAAATAAATTGAAGAATTAAACAATCCTGTGAGCCCAAAGTGCACATTGACAAAGGTTTTCCCCATTGGAGTAGATAATAGCTTTGGAGATGTGTGGGTAGTGAACTTCATCAGGAAAACAGCATGGGGCATGCTTTAAGAACCATTTAATTGTTCTGGATTCATAGTTGTATAAAAAGCTGTCCCTCTCTGCTCCATGCCATGGTGATCATCTGATGCGATATCTTTATTGCAGGTAGATGAACACAATTGGATAATATCTCTCCTCTGAAAACACCTTTTGTTCCAGGGAGGATTCTTAAGGATAAACTGTGTTTAAATTTCAGTTGTTATATGCCAGCTTACAGGAAGACTAAGAGCTTCTGCCTTAAATCAGTATTGAGTCAGGCTCAAAAGAATGTTAACATTTCTTAATAGCACAGAATGGCTAATGGACATCTCCTGAAGGGAAATACTTGTTAAAATATGTTTTAGTGACCAAAGGTCTGTATGGAGTGTTGGAAAGTCTATTTCAATGCATCCCACACTGGTTAAAGGAAGGTGACTGATACAAGCATCTGTATGAAAATAAAGAGGACTACAGAGAGAAACAAGAATAGTTCAGCCAAATGTCTGGTCATGTAGGTGGTGTCAATGAGAGGCCACAGTCCAAGAGACCTAATCAGGTGTGATGGCAGTCTCCATTTTGCCCTAGCTGATACGATTTTTAGAATGTAAATTATAGGTATTTGTCTCTGATCTGAATCAGGAACCTGGTATGGATATAGGAGGGCTTTAACTCTTCTCTTCCTGCTGTTGTCCCACTCCAAATTTTTTTGAGGGTGGTGGTGGAACATTGCTTTTATTGGAGTGAATGAGAGCTTTTTGCAAATGCACATTTCAAGTGTGTCAGTGTGGGCAAAGGATTAACCCCTCATCCCTTATGACAGCCCCTTGGCTTCAAATTGCAGCCCCTCCCCAAAGCCAGAAATGTATAATTCAGGGGTTCGCAACCTGCAGCTCCGGAGCCGCATGTGGCTCTTGAACCCCTGCTGGGCTCCGTTCGTAGCTCAAAACACGCACCGGCACAGCCACTGATCTGCTCGAAGCTCCACTCAGGAATGCAGGGCTAGCTAGTTAAGTAAATGGCTACATTCCTCTGCTAAACAAGCTTCCTGCAGGGTCTCATGTTACAGGAAATGCTGCTGAAAAGATTCTCTTTGTCCCAATGTAATCTCCTTCATCTAAAAGCTGCTTGGGACCTGTCACAATTCACAGCACTTGACTGTTTATCTGCTAATCTGTCACTAAAACACACCTATATCTCCAGCACAAAGATCTGTGGACCCCTGCGATTTACTGAGGCCCCCCCCCCCCCCCCCCCGTAGGCTAAATTGGGTAAATTGAAGAAAAGTTTCTGAAGAAAACCAAACATTTAATGATACTTCAGTAGATTCATTTGCTTTTACTGATGACGAACTTATGGGGTTTGCTGTTTAATGCATGCAGCCCTTTAGCACTGACTTTGACTCTTCAGAAAGCTGTTCTCCTATTCAAAATATATGAAAGGAGTCCTACTAGTTTATAATGTAAGATTAAAAATAACAGTTTTTAGTGACTGAACAAGAGCTGCAGCTAAATCATAATGAAGATATACATAGCATTAAGGTAAAAAATGATATATGCAGTGTTATCTTCATTTTAGATGTCAAAAGGGTTTTGCGGCTCCCGGTGTTTTCTTTTGTGTGGGAAATGGGTCCAAATGGCTCTTTGAGTGTTAAAGGTTGCGACCCCTGGTATAATTGAAACATCTAGCCCACTAGGCTAGTTGTATTCCTAATGGCCTGCCTTGGCCCTAATGGAAAACTCCTGGACAGGACAGAACCATAGTAAAACTGATTAACAAGGCTTTAAGAATATCTCTTAAGGAATTTTTTTAACCTTTATCCTGTATGTTGTGATCCTTTTTAATTGTTTTATAGATATTTAATTCATTGTGTTTTAATTGGTTTTTAATGTGTTTTTACTCTGTCAGTATGTTTTACATTGTAAGTCGCCTAGGAAGGCTTCAGCAATTATAGGTGGCCTATAAATATATGTAAATAAATAGATAAAGTTAAGGTATTGCTGAGGTACAAAGTAACTACACCATAACAAAGTAAGTACAAATGTGACCATTTAAAAGAGGGATTTGGGTGCTTCAAGAAAAACTGCACCATCACGGGCATGCCACTGAGCCAGCAGATTTGTTGCCTAGTGGGAGTTTGAGTATTGTCCCCAAACATTCTCATCTCTTGAGCAAAATAGGAAGCACATAATACATATGCTGGTTTTAAGTTTTCATTTGATCCCAGTTACGAAAGTCCTTGTGCAATATATTCATTATTTTGTAACTTTATCATATTAAAAGTACAGGTTAACCATGCAAACTTAGCTTTCCTGAGATGCCTCAATCTCTCTCACGTGATTGTTGCATGTATACCTCTCACACAAACATAATACATTTTATCTGTAAGGTGCTGCTGTTTAATCTCTGTGTTTAACATAATTGAGCATTGTTGAATGGAAAGAACATTTCAGTTGTTCAAAGTTTCAAGGATAATTGAAGCTGCAATTTACTGGATTGATGATTAAAGATGTGTAGCATTGAAAGCCCTTGACCAGTCAGTTCAGGGCTGTATGCTCAAGGCTAAAGGATGAGTGATTATCAAATAATTACTTATTTTATAAGCATTCACTCCAAGAACCTTTAAATGGCATATTGTAAAAGACTTTTATCTCTCTGAGGTGACAGGTCTAGCCTGATGCTCAAACTACCTGGGACAGATTGAGCAGAACTTGAATGTGTGCCAATCAGGGTTAGAAGAAGGTGCAAGCAGGCTTTTCCCTCAGGATCTAATTTCCCTCAGAGCTGAACTCAACTTGTTAGGAAAAGGAACTGCTGGGAGAAAAGTTGCCAAAAAAGAGGGGCTGTTTCACCTCCTACTTCTTCTTGCATCTTAAACATACATGAAATTGCAGCAGGTCTAGGCTTTTTAAAAAATGGTTTTACTACAATCATATGTAGTTTACTCATTATACCATACCAATTTGGTTGCAGTATGGTTAAATGTTTCAGTATGGGAAAGCTGCAGTGTTTGGCTTCAAATGAGAACACTAACATAGGAGAAAACCAGTAGAATAAGGTGTTCTCCTAATACAAATGCTATAGGAAGGACAGGAAAGAGTATACTGGGGGCAGTGCTATCCTGTCTATCAAAGAGGAAATGAGTCAAAGCTAGACATTTCTAAAGGGGAAGACTCTTTCACAGAGTTGCTTTGGCCGCAATCAAAGGAAATGGGGAACTTGCTATTGTTACACTTGACAAAATGCTGAGAGTGATCTTGAGATAGAGAATGAAATCAGGGAGGCACCCAAAGTAGAGACCACTGCAGCAATGGATGACTTCTGTTACGCTCACATAGACGGGGATGATGGGAACATGCATATACCCAGAGGAATTGCTCTGTTCATCTCTTTCCTCCCAGCCATCCACCCTGCCACTTGCTTCTGCCAGCACATTCAAATAAGATCTTGTGCAATGGCTTTGGAAAACCTGCTGCACAATACCCTGCTGCTTCTAACAAAAAAAACATCAGCAGATCTGGGTAAGTCAATAGGTACTGCACACATGCACAGTTGCATTTTAGCATTTCTCTGAAGCTTGCCTACTCTGAACTTTTTAAACCAGATTTTTAAAAGATCTGTAATTCTGCAAATTTCAGGGTGCTGATCTGATGATCTTGGGCATGGCTGCTGCTGTTTTGGGTACATTCACATCAGTACTGACCTGCAGAGCTGGTAAATAGAGGGAATGATAGGATCCCTCCATAACCTAGTAGTCAGCATTTACAAAATACAGTTCTGTACATCATGTTTCTAATGGATGCACATTACTCTCTAAATATAATTCTCACCTTTACCCAGCTTTCCATTTTCCACCCTCCTAATCATGGCTTCTTTCTATACTCTTTCTTTCTGAAAAGAAAACCATGTTTGCATCAAATGGGTTCCCCAGCTATAACATAACTTGGATGGGAAACCACCTTTAAATGGGCCAGTTTGCCCATTTGGTCAAATGATAATCTATAGTTTGTTTATATTACTGTTTGTTAGGGCTGTGTAAGAGCAAGTGAGCACACTGCCTCCTGCTTAGTTGACACTTTGACTTTGATGAACAAGCTAGGAATGTTCATTTATGTGTTTAATATGACATTTGAACCCAAACTTCTGGGCTGTTGAGGAACAAACAACTCAGAATTTGAAGCCATGTTTTATTGTTAGGTTAGAACTTTGGGTTGTCTGTGCCTTAACAATGCAAAATTTCTGCTTTGCCCATTGGATCAATAAACTCACGAATCAGGTGTACCTGGAATATTGATGAAAGTGGGTGCAATCTAGAAGTTGTAAGCAATGCAGGAGGCAGTTTCCTTGCTCACTCTGGTACAATTCTGCCAATTCATTGGTTAAACATACTGATGGACTGGCATTATATGCAGAGCAGGTCAGTATGTATAGCAATGTGTAAGGATGGTTTCTTACCAACAGGTGTCTTGCCTGTTGCACTATTTCTTTTGAGCTACACCTCACAAACTTAAGCTTCATTCAGATGTGGCTTTATCTCCCTGTCACATGCATATAATTTTATATGAAGCCAGATATCATCTTTCACTTTTAACTCTCCTGTGTTTTTCCATCACTTCCGTCAATTTTTTTCTTACCATAACAAATTCTGGTAAGGAGAGAACAAAGACAGAATAGCACCACAATTTATTTTGATTGGTGCTACTAGGAGTCCTTCATCTAGCAGTACAGCTAGTTTTCATTTTGTCCCGGAATGCTGATTTACCAAGGACTTTGACCAGCCAGTGCAAGAGAACTATCATTTATACTTGCTGACCTGTGGCCTAATTAAATAATCAGGAACAGCCCTGCTGATATGCAAGGTATAGGAACTCCTGAATTTGCAAATACCTGTTGCTGCTAAGTGACTCTTCCAGTCACATTAAATTCTGCATAAGCCGGTCCAGAGTCCTGTTATGACAAAAGTTTCATTCATGAAGTTCCATAAGCAGATATTTACAGCCATTAAGTACAGGAAACTCCACTCAATATTTGCCCATCAACTCTCAGGAATCTGAAATGATTTTTAAAAGACACTGTATATCTAGGTGAGCATTTGAAATTTCTTATAACCCAGTTTGCTATTTCTCGGACCATACTTTGCCGGAAATTGCAGAATGGTAAATGAGTTAAATCCTTTCACATCAAACAGAATTTCCCTTAATCTGTCTACCACATGCATAAAGGGGAATGTGACTGTCTTGGTAAGATCTTGGCACATTGTCTTAAACAGCAACATCTTATTTCTGCTATTTCCAATAAGAGCAATGTGACACTTAATGCTCTCAAAGATATAAACTCACAATTTTAAAATATTTATTCCAATTTGTCTAGTCTAGGTAACAATGGGAGCAGACAGAGCCACTTCGAGGGCGGAGACAGAAGTTTTACTGAAGGGGAGGGATTGTGGGAAAGGTTGGATTCAGCTCTTAACATGAGCAGAGGCTTCTCATTTCAGCTTTGGTAGAAGGAGATTTTGAGTTCAAGCTGTTCTGTTATCTGTAGAGTCCAATAAAAATTGTATTTCAAAGAATTGTTTTTGCTTTTGGAACTGAAGGGAAGGGACCTGCTCAAGACAATTTATTAAAATAGTGGGCTTATAATCTTGCATTAATCTCATTCATTCATTTGTTTCAATTCTATATCATCCAATAGCCAAAATTTGCTGGGTAGTTAACAATGAATACAATACAATAATATACAAAAATTATTACTTTTGATTCTGATGAGACTTTTGTCAGCATTCATTAAAGAGTTATTTTCATTGAGAAATTTTGGCTTTCCTGTATATCTTTTGAAATGCATCAAAATTCTATATTTAATTCCAAGTGCTAGAATTATGACCAATAATATTTCTTCCCCAAGAATTTTTTTAATCCTTGGGGAAGGATGTGCACTTTATCCACTGATACTTGATTTATGTTTAGATCCCCTGGCATGTGCTATTAGAATAGTAATATTCACATATAAGCACTTAGAATTCAAAATTAATTTTTATGCTGATGCTCTTGTATTGTTTATCTCAAAACATGAGTCATCTGTTCCAGTTTTCATGCAGGTGATTAATATTTTTGGAGAATTCTCTAGTTATTCAATTAATTGGCCAAAGCCTGAATTAATTTCAAATGGAGAAACTAAACTGCATAGTCTTGTAGTCAACTGGCAATTTGGATGATCAGGAATACATATTCCCAGAGAAATGTCTCAGATGATCAAGTTATATTTTCATGAGAGAGCAATGCTATGCCCCACTAGGAAGCCTCTAGAGGGCCTTAGCTGACTCCAGATTCCCAGAAATGCGATCAGAACAAGAGCTCTATTCAAGCTTATATCCCCCTCATGGTGGTACCAACTGCTTCTATGAGACCAGAAATTCATCCTTGAAGAAGGGGTCAAGGGAGAATTCCAAGGGGTAGGAACACACTGGGGATGCCAGGTTACAAGGTATCCTGGGAGCACACCTGCTTCCTTCCCTCTTCCTCCAAGCCACCACAGCTAGATAACAGAAATCAGCTTCTTTAGCTGACTCACCTCCTGAAGATGCCAAAGCTGCTAGAGTGGATCAGTTCCATGTGGAGGGCTACAGGGGAAGGAATTAGCCTAACCTGTCATACAGCAGTATGAGTTTTATAGGTTTGGGGCAATTATAAAAGGTGTGAATTGCCAGAAAATAACATCGGACAAAAGGGGGGGGGGTTGTGTCTGAACTTTCAGCCTCACCACAGCCATTTTGTGAGACTGCCCATAACTTTCTAACCAATGCCACTTTAGACAGAAAAACATAACTCCAAGTGATTTTGAAAGGCAACCAAAAACTAACAATTTAAAGTAGGACAATTCCGATGCAATAGAACATGCATGGAATTTTAACAATGGTATTGGCAGATAAACTAATGATTTAATGCCTGATAATAGCCAAGGTTGCTACTGTGGAAGATGAAAAATGAATTAAGCACTAGAGATTATCTGTTCATTAGTCAGGAAGAAAATTCTTTAACTGTTCTTGATAAAAATCAGACAGAAGATCCTTGTAGGCTAAAGTTATTACAGGTTAAGTAAATAGTGGAACAGATTGTGTTCAGTTCCGCAGATTAGGAAAACTGGCATAGTTCTGCCAACTTCTATGAAAAGGGATCAGATATGGAGCAAGTCAGTATGGGGTTACTTTGGTCTATTGATAAGAAAACTACCCTTATAAACCAAACATCCCACCTCTGTTTGCTCATGACCCAGAATGATGTTTTCTTAACTTTCAACAGGACCATTATTCAATATACCACTCTGCATGTCAATAACATCTTGGTTGGGTGCTGTCCGCACTAAGAAGTGTCTGAACTGTGAGAATTCCTAGGAGGTTGGGGAATTAAAAAAATCTCCTGCACCCCTAGTGTAATGCCAGATTTGTTGTAGGTTGTAGATTTTATTCATGTCACAAGATTCACCAAATAACTTTATAAAGTGATCAAAACTTTTTATTAAGAAAATACCATCTAAAATCAGCAGAAATAAACAATATCAAAATAAAACCGACCACCCTACCATCCCCATACATAAACACATGCCTTCATTTAGGAAAATGGTATATCTGGAGCATTGTCATTTTGATGCACAACTGTCCTGAATGTAAACATAGCCTTGCACTGGCCTTGTTTTTACCAGCATTCTATGCTTTCCCTGAGATCACTGAGTGTTGTACAACCACCCTGATTACCTAAATCCTAACCCCTGATTGCATGATTGCCTGCAAGCTTTGTTTGCAAGTTTACAAAAGGCAGCATGATGTAAAGAGTTTCTGCAGAGTGCAGTGATGAAGCAACCCTCTTTTTGGCAGCTTGAAAGCCACTCTGGGGTACAAGAGGTCAATTTATCCTTTCTTTTAACCTTCTATGGCCCCCAAACTTCCCTGAAGACATAGTACAACACTGAAGGAACTGGACTGTCCTATTTCAGAACCCATACCCTGTGTCCTGAAACCAAATATATAAAGGCAAACCTTGCCATAACAAACTGTTTTAAGTGACAAGTGTTCATAATCCTTAATGCATTGCTTTGGCATCATTGTACACAGCTTTTCACCACTCTGTGGACTGAATATAATGAAGTATTTTTGTTCCATTCATTCACAGAAGTTTCAATCTGTACTTGAAATCAACATCACTTGTAGGTTGTAAAATGCCAAGTCCTGCTCGTGACTGGTCTAAAGAAGGACAACTCACATTCTTGTTGTCAAGCTCCACTTCAAAATAGCAAAGCAACAAAGTCAGAAACTGCTTAATTTCATGAACTGCAAACAATCTTCCAGGGCATTTTGCAAGTCCTGTTCCAAATGGCATATAATAATATTTCAATTTGCAACCGTTGCGGTAGAAAGTGGTCTTTTCTTCTCCATTTTCTTCAAGATAACGGTCATATTTGAATGTCTGTAATGAATGCCAGATAATGAAGTTGAAAATTCAACAACATTTAAAGTCACCATAAGAGCATTTGAGATTCACAAAGGAAACATGAAATGTATGCCTTTTCTTCAATACTTTAATTTGTACATAGAACATTCTTCACAAACTTCAGTTGCCATTGTTCTATTAGTTATTTTGCACTACTATATTTCATAGGTAAAAACAAAATATATAATAAAATAAGCACATCATAATTAAATAAATATAGACAAAATAAATCTCATCTTTCAGAAATATTAAAAATTGTGGAATGTATCAATCTCACATTTCTATATGAATACATTATAAAACAGTACTGTGGGGCAATTAGCTGCTTCAGAAGAAAAAAAAGTGTTTGCTACACAAATAGAGTGGTATTGATCTCTCTTTCGCCTCACAATGCTTCTCATGTGAACTGGGGGCCTCTGGAGCCACGTTTTAGATGGAAAAACATGTGGCCAGTAATAAGCAGATTAGTTACACTGCCCCTAATAGTGTGTCTCAGTGGTATTTCCAGTGTATATCCATACCATGGTCGGTGTTTAGTGTTTATTACAGGAATTCTATCTGATGAGGAGTGTTTACTGCCTTCTGGTTATTAGTTAAGAAGTTATGATGCAGATGAATTCTTTAATTCCAGCTAGCCTTGGGTGGGGATTTCTACAGAGATTTTGGAAGGGAAGGATTTTATTTTCCTGTGGATTTGTAACTGGTCTGGGCAAGGGTACCATCTTGGAGAAGGGTTAATCTTCCCTTACCGAATAAAGGAATTACAGGTGACACTGTCAGGTTAGGACATACCTGTCAGAACATGGAATGAAAGCCTTTGATAGGCAAAGTTTAGAGAGCATATAACATCTATGCCCATGTCAAAAAATTTATAGTGTAAACCTTTTCAACAGTTAAGATCAACAGAACAATCCTATATGCATCCATACAGAATTGAGTCCCATTCAGTTCAACAGGGATTATTTGAATTGAATGGTAATCACTTCTGTGTGTACAGGTCTAAGATTGTTCTGTTTACTCTGTTGACTAAACAGTTTTTTTGTTATCTAGCTATTGGTGTTATGTATTCTCTTTTTGCTATAGCAAGAACATTGACTTAATCCTTTTACCTCTAGTAAAAAGTTCTCATGTACACTAGAATTCATCTAACAAAAGTCCAGTATGTGAATCTCAAAAACAGATAATAGTGCTGATATTATGTGCTTTTCTGCATCACACCACCTTTTGTTGATGTGCACGAATATATATGGGTATTTTTACCCCTTCCAATATATTGCAGGTCTTTGGATGGCTTACAAGTCAAGATTACTCACCAGGGGGTCAGAATAGATTTCTGGATCAAAATGCAGCAGCTGGGGATAAAGAGCTATGATGTCATCTTTGCGGATATTGTAGGAGCCACTCCTTAATTGCAAAACAAAATCTTCCTTGACAACTCTGACTGTCATGGATGCACTAGAGAGCCTTATTGCTTCTTTGATAATGCTATCTGGGTAGTGGGGAAACAAAACAAAACAAACAACTCAGCCTTTAACCTAGATGTCATATAAAAATGTGAGCTACTGCAAAATTGAAAGTAGAGTGATCCACTGAAACAAACAAACATCACTAGGGACAAGAATCTAATTCCTTGGATTTGATTGGCTTCTATCAAATGCCATTCCAGCTAGGGAAAAAAACCTTACTGGTATAACATTTTTAAATGTTTTATAATATATTCAATAATGTGAAGTGACTAAGACCAAGATGATTATATAGCTGATCTGATCTAATGATTAATTGTCCCTAAACCTTGAAAGTTATTTGTTGGTCATCGGAAGTGGCAGGTACATCAAGCATACCTAATACAGGCATGTCATCAAGCTGCTTTCGATTCAAGGAAATAGGTTTTCTATTTGAGTCTACTTTTTCACCGGCATTTTCTAATACCCTTTGCACCTCTTCAGTGGCCGCTTTCATTGCTGTTGGGTTCCTGAAATAAAAAGACATAGTATAAATATAATACTCATACTCATAGTGCATGCACGTGTCATTTGCTACCTAGAGACATGTCTCATAAGAAGAGTGAGTTTCAGGTAGGCCTTCTAAGGGGGCATTGATCAGGGATGGTTTCTTGGAAAACCAAGTTGTGATCAAGGAAAGATATGGGCACTGACTGCCTTGGCTATCCCAGATCCAGCAACAAACATGTTTGCCTCTGCAGGGGCCCAACCTACTCAAATCCTCCTTGTGATCATACTACCACATTTCACTTTCCTCCCAATCCCAGCTTCCTAGTACATAACAATCACTCTCCAAACAGCCTGCCTTTGGCCAGAAATACCTTCATGTGTTCTGATCAGGATTAATCTTAAACCACCCTATATAATGGATAAAGCTCTTGAGCAGGGATGATGAACCTTTTTTCAGTCTGAGGGCCAAATTCCAATTTGGAGAAGCTCACTTGGCCATATAGGGTCAAAAGCTAACGGGTCACAACCAAACATATCAGCATAGTGGTATGCTTCTTCTCTGGGTAATGGAATTTTGCATATTTTAACATCAAAAGACCTAACCTAATCTGTAGAACTTCATTCATGGTTCTACAAAAGATGCATATGCAATATAGCTTGTCCACAGACACATTAAAAATTGCTGTCAAACCAGCTTAATTAAGGATGAATTTTAGAAATGTGCAGTCAGCTAACTTAAAAAAGCTTTCAATGACAATTGGAGGGCTAACCATGATTACTGAGACTGAAAACTTTCCTTCAGGATCTGAAAGCATCCATTAATGCCAAGCATGGGCATTGTTGCTGTGCACTTCATAGTTATGCATATGTTTAGTGCTTAGACTGAATCTCTGCAAGCATAGCTAGTGTGGCATATTGTAAAATGTTTTCTTGACAAAAGACACAAGGTGCAGACTGATCCAAGCACCAGCACTTAGGGCTAGGAACTGTTGTTAAACTTACGTTCCACAAATTGAATCAGAAATCTGAAATTTTTAAATGCAGATGCAGGACAATTCAGCTCATCAAGTGATAAGATGGTAACCATAATAAGTTTTCTTTGCTAATCCCAAGGGTGAGGTAACTGCTACCAAGGACAATGGTAACAGGACAATATAGAACAAGGACTATCTGTAGACTTGGAGTTTCCAATATGTGCCCCTGTACAGCTTTCTTGGTGCCTGCCTGCCAGGCTTCCTGCTTCTCTTGATGTTTATTTTATTTCCTAAGGGTTTGTAACATTGGTTTTTCTTGTAACTGGAATGCTGCAAAGCAAAGTGCAGCCTTTTAATGTTATCTTTATTTGGGTTCAAAAGAGCAGTTTTGCATTTTGGAGGTAGGATCCAAACTCTGCTTTGGTTTGAGCAAACTGGGCAAGTTTCTTCCCTTTTCTTTTCATCAGTTTGCCTTTTCAGAAATGAGTGTGCACTGAGTAGCCCCACCCACCATTGTGGGGTAGGCAAGTCTCTCTCCTGTGATAATCGTTTTATGACATTGCCCACAACACTCGCTCAGAACTCCAAACATGTGCAACAACCCAAAAAGGCAAGGCTGCTATAGACTGAAGTCTAGTAGTACTCACCTCATAAGATAGAATAAACTCCAAAAGGTAGCAGGGATTGTATTAGCTTGTGAAGCCCACAGGACTGCAAGATGGGTCTTTGCTTTTTCATTATCATCAAAAGTGGAGAGTGTATCATTCAAGAACATGCGGAGAGAAATTAGTTGTGAGATGTTCTCTCTTTTTTTAAGGTTCTCATGGAGCAAAGCCTCAGCCAGCTTCTCTCTGGCAATGTGGGCACTTCTGAATAGGTGGATTGGCAGACCAGCTACAAGAGCTGGAAAGATTTGGTCAAACTCCTTGAAGTTCTCCAGGGCATTGAGGATAACCTCTCTTTGGGCTTCTTGGTTAGAAGAAAGAATTTTGTCATGGCCTATGTTAAACTCTGTCCCAAACAGGGTTAAAAACCCAGATTCAAACATGACACGACAGCAGAATTCATAAAGCTTATTGGTGACCCAGGCACTTGGGTTCATTTTTGGTACAATTGATTTCACCATAACATAGTACAGATTTTCCATCATGGCCTCATTGAGACTTGTTAAGGCATTACCCTGAAGAGTTCTTGTGAAGGTCTGTTGCATATTCTCAGTGGTGTTTCCATCACTTGGGTCAATGCTCCTATGTCCAAATGCCTGTCACCAAATATAGATGATGTTAATTGTACCCCAGTCATCACTGTTTGTATGTATTTATTTCTTTATTCAATCTCTTCTTTCTCTCCTTGTTGCCATGTGAGCAGAATGTGCTTCTGCAAGCACACACTTAGCTCCTTGAATCTCATAGCATTCTGATTTAGAAGACTATTTTATCTACAAAACCTTTGCAAGGACTAGGGGTTGTCTGTGGTAGTAGTTCACAAGTACTACTGGATCAATGATACCTCTTTTCTGCTAGCACAGCATTGGATACAACTCTGCATTTGGAAGTAGAACCAAAGAGCTCCTGTGTGTAAGCAGATCACTGTATACAAGTGCTTTGGATTCTAGTCTAAGTGAATAATAATGTACAAGAGAAATTAGAGGCAAATTATTTTCTACTTAATTTAGAAGTAAAATATAAAGGAAAGGTCTGAGGAATTAAATATCTAACCTATTGACTGATACTGATAAATAAAGTATGGCCACTTAAGACTTCTATCCAGTATCCATTTAAGTTGAGGTTACTTTTTAATTGTCTCCAATAGGGGTTGTAGTCGGCTTTGATTTTATCAAGGCAGAGAAGAAAATGATGATAAGTACTACATTTTTAAAGTACCAGGGATTTTAAATCCCCAATCAGCCAGGTGCATTTGTCTAACCATGAGAGACAAAAAAAAAAAAACCTGCCAGCAAGGTCTACCAGAAAAACATTTTCCTGAAGTGTTCACACAGCAGTAGAGAGCAGCCTGCTCTTTCAAAAGAGATCAACACTCTTACTAACAAGCCAAATGCTTTTATACCTTTAAGAACCACCTACCAGTCATTGGTCATCTTGATCTCTCCTCATCTACACTTTGACCTTTCTTTCTGCCTATTGTTAACCTTTGAAGCCAGGATCTGCACTTATCTTACCAGTGGGCAGACAAGCAGACATCAGTCAAGTATCTTCCCTGTAAGTATTCTGTGGCACAATTACAACCAAGAATGAAATTTCAACTGAACAGTATCTATTACACTAATATTTCATTCCTACATACACAAATGGTTAATTTCTATTACTGATACACAAGCTTTATGATTTGAGGAGTCTCTCTGCTCTTCTGCAGATTGGAATCAGTTAAAGGTCAAGGGCTCAGCAAGGTTAGAAAGAGTTCAAGACAGGGAATTGGCAATTTTATATCAAAAGCAACTTTCTGCCAGATTACAGAATCCATCATTCTAATGGCTGTTTGGCAAAGACAACTATATCAAAGAGGACAGTGAATCTGAAAAAGAGGCAGGGAGCTGATCTTGCCCTCTGAACTAAATTTATTGAGAAACAGAAATCTGTTAGAGTGTCAGTGCTTTGAATTCTCAGTAAATAAATGTCATATGAGCAACAGCTTCTCTGGAATCTCCTTATTCCCCTTTAGAGCTCCATTAATTTCATTCTCATCCAAAGGTTCAACTGCTTCTCTAGCTGGTTTCTTTCATCTGATATATTTAAATAATTCTTTACAGTCAGCTTTGATGGTATTAGCTATACACTCCTCAAAATGTTCCTTTGTTTCTGTTAATGTCTGCTTGTGAATGTCCCTTGTGAAAGTTCATGATCCCTTTTGTCTTCCTTATTTGGGCAAGTTTTCTATTTTTTAAAGGAACAAATAGAGATAATGATGATCTACTTCTAGGGCATAATCCTATGCATGTTTAGGCAGAAAAATGTTCTACAGGAATGCTAAAGCCTGCACTTAGAGCTTCTTGTTTCAACACCTACAGATGTTGGGAATCTGGGAGCAACCAGATTATGGGGCTGTTACAAGCTGTCCTTTTTGCACTCTTGCTCAAAAGTAACCCCCAATGTCTTTGGTGTGCATGGTAAACGTACACAGGACTGCAGCTGGAATCAATCCAACCTTTAATAAATGTGGTAGATTTGCCCTGTTAGAATGTTAAGCAAAAATATTTGTTTGCAACTGGTACTTTTTGTCTTTCAGATATAATTCTGTATTCTTCATTACAAATCAGTTCATCTGATCTATATAATAAATATTTTACCACACTCTGTAATTTAATCTAATTTAAGTCAGTGAATTTAGAGATCTAAATATCTAAATAAAATCATGTTATGTACATTAAAGAAGATCCTTTAAGGTTTGTTGTAAAGATAATTTGAATAACAGAGATATATATGATGAGAAACTAATAACTTAATCTTGGTTCCACTTCCTAGTGTAGTCAAAATAAATAGGAGGAACCTCCAGACCATCTATTTATTATGTAAACATTGCAGAGAGCCAGGAGGCTGTTTTGATGGTATAAAAGTGTTAAACAAATAAACATCAATGCAACACTATGACCAAGGATGTTGCATTGGTAACAAGCTACTTCCTGGCATGGTTTTCAGACTGGGCATTTCCCTCCTTTTACTATACTTAGAACAAAAATTAGTTTTTATTACTGAAAAATATCTTTTTAAAAAAATGTGCTACCTTTGCAGAGGTTGCAAAGTGGAACTTTTTCCAGTCCAGATGTCTTCCTTGTCGCATCACTGCATGATATGAAAAGGGATCTGTGAGAAAATGCACATATTTTCCAGCCAATCGGCAAGTAAAAATGGGCCCATATTTCTTTTGTCTTTCCCTGAGGAAATGCAGAGGATTGGCCCCAAACTGCAAAGCACAGCCAAAATACGGCAGCATTCCATTTTCCAAGGGTGGCTCATTTGGATGTCTGTAAAAGGCAATACATACATGGTATAGATTAGGGCTGTAAATTAAAGTTTGACCTTCACATTTGCTGCGCAAGCTTCTATTTATAACTTTCTACTTCCATCTTTGATAGAAGGAATTGCCTTTGAGTAATAAATTCTTTAAGAAGACAGTAGATAACAAACATATAATGACTTTAGTGCAATAAAGAAGCTTATTATAGCCTAAATAATAAGAATGCATCAGACATATTGTAAATAAAATTCAATGAAATTTACTTTCCCCTTTAAACATATAAATTCAACCTTGTTTACTCTTGGATATTGTGTCTATTTTTTAATAGCACTGGCCATTCACAACAAAATATGTTTGCTTAGATAATTTGTATTACTCAGTGAATACTGTATGGTATGGGTGCATGTAACTTTTAGGAGAGAAAGAAAAATCTGACTGGCTGAGTGAAAAAAATTTCTCAGAGACTGGGGCAGACTGCCCAAGCCTAGCCTTGGCAGTCCAATTGATGCAATAGATACAGTATCTGTTTGATTTAACATTTGACCGCTCCACTTTGTTTGCACTTTTGAACAATCTGTCTACTCAAATTGCTGATGTGTGCATGATTGCATAGAAATCAAGCCTGTCAGCTCTTCCTGTGGAGGCTAATCTACCTCTTCCTAATTTCACAGTGGAGGTGTATGTACAAAAACAGCCACCCACATGCATAAGCCAATGTAAAGGTGTACCCCATCCATATGATGATGCTCAGCCAAGCCTCCTTGAAATGCTGTTGCATCTTTGGAAGTGCAGATGCACTTTCCTCCAGCAAAGCCATCAGTTGAAGACAACACATTGCTCAAGCCTATTGCTAGATTGGGGCACACATTTCTGGCATTGTTAGTATGAGTGAGTTATGGCTTACCCTGTTGGAAAATTCTTCTACATTGATTATGGAATTATTCTTATACTATACACAAGTAGATATTCTATGTTTCTATATTTGGATATTCAATAACTCAAGAACCTTTGAAGGTATGGTAAATTCATGTAAAACGGGGGGAAACTTAATGTAAGATCAAGGTATAGTACTGTTCATGGATCTCATCAGTAGAAAAGATGCTAAAATCCAATTTTCTGTTTACTGAATAGTTACTTTAATATAAAATGTTAGACACTTCATAAATGTTACACAACAACAGTGTTGAATAATTTGCATACATCAAATAAATATTATGATGATTGTGAACTGTTTTTCCTTATAGTGCCTCATATTTGAATTAAGATGGTCGTGTCCCAGTACCATTTGGGGCATGGAACAGTATGTACAAGCTGAAATTAATATGCTGAATTGCTATGTCTTTGCATATACCTTTTCATTTATGTATCTGAAGCAATTTAGGTTTTAATAATACATCTTATCTCTCATTAGAAAGTAAACATGGATTACTTTTATCCATTTTTTAATGTGGCATATTTTAAGTGAAAAACAGAAAAACAGTATAGGAGAAAACAAAGGCATTCTGCATACAAGAGGCTAGCAGCTGATTTCAAAGCATCCACAATGCTAGCCACTTCTAATAAATCAGGTTTTCGGTATTCCAATTTATATAATTTAATCCATTGTTTACATATTTGATACTAATGTTATATAAAATTAGATAAGGGTACATCTCTGCTAATTTTTGTAATGTATGCACACCTGAAAAGCAAATAATTATTCCTATTAAACTACTTTTTGTTAAACATACTACATTTTAAAAATTGTTGCACACATTACAATTTTAAAGGGATGGAACATTTCAAATTTCATCAAATAATGTGTGAAAATAGTCCTCCTTACCTTCTTCTTATTCTCAGAACAAACCACAAACTACAGGACATCACCACTAGTCCCCAGGTGAAAAGCAACAACAACATTTCAGACAATTACAATGAAATCTCAAGTGTGAAACAATGGTTTACATGTAAGCTTGAGACTGATTCAGAAGATGACATGGGGCCACTTTTTATATTCAACAGGGTCACCTCACTTCATTGAACTTAAATAACCTATTTAAGCTATTAATTAACTATTTCTGGACAAAATTTCTATGCTTGTAGTTGAGCCAAATTCTTTGTAAAGAATTGGATTGCATACTTCAAATGGTAACCTTGATCTGATTATCACTTATCAGTGAAGGTCCAAAGTAATCAAGGAGCTTTAACAGCTGATAATTTTACAGTCTAAGACGTGTTTAAATTTGACAAGTACAGTTTATAGGTCAAGCACAGGCTTCAGGAAAGTGGCTTTCAGGTGATTCCATCTCTATTAGGCTCTCCAAGTTTTGATTTCAGAAATACTGGTGGTTTGCCAAGAAGTAAGTAGACTAGACTAGGGATAAAAATATGGTCCACCACAGTGGATTGAAATATGAGAGGTACCTTAGATTTCACCTAAGAATGATATACCAAAAACAGTTCCCATATGTCCATCATAATTGTTGTAGAGGTACCTCATATATCTCAGTTGCAGTGGTCCACAGCTGATTTTGTGACGCTAAACTTTTGACTCATACAGATTGCTGGAAATGTGGCAAAAGTGAAGTCAAAGCTTCAGAAAATGTTGTTCAGACATGCCAAAGTAAATTAATAATACCATGACCTGCTTGTGTGTCTTAACATTCATAAGCTTAAGAAGTAGAAGATTGTGAAGATGTTCATTGTATTCCACCAAAGTGCACTATTAGTACCAGAAAACTTGAGAAACAAAGGTTTCTCCAGAAACCATACCTAATCCTGATGCCAAGAATAATAAATTTGACTTTTAAAGAGTGTTTTATTTGCAAAGGTTTTTTTTGCCAACAGAGCATTAATGAATTCTTCATAGTCTATGCATAAATTATACATGGAGCTCTAATCTAGGTTAGGTAAAATGTGTCTTTTAGGGTTTGTCCATGTAATTAACAGGAAGTACAACCTATGAAATCCTGAGTTTGCCATTTCTATGTTGAAACTTGGCAGCAAATGGTCTCTTTATTGGCCATTTTACCAGGTAGATAGTGCAACTGTATGTTAAATATTTGTTTTCATATATTAGTCATGTTAATTATCATCAAAGTTTTGCCAGTTGTCATAGGAATGAGGAAACAACTATCTGCTGTTAGTACATTGTTTCTAGGAAGCTGTTTCTGTGTAGTGTATGTTTGAATTCTTATTTCTGCTGATACATTTTGTTTTGTAGACATATCTTACTGTTTTTACTTCTCTGTTGATCATAACAGAACTAAGCAAAAAAACAAAAACGAAACACCCCTGCATTTATATCAGAAATGATAGTTTTCAAAAACCTGCAGCGGAAAACTTCAACCTCCCAGGACACTCTGACTAAGATTGCATGGCATACTAAGTCACAGTACCTTATAAGATATTATGGGCTAGTAAGTTATGCAAACCCATGACAGATTTGTCAGGTTTGTCTAAATCTGGATTAGAGAGCACCCTGACAACCCACAGCTTGCAGTTGGGCCTGCTTGTGTTGAACCAGACAATACAACCTATTGTGTGGCAAGGCCACAAGCTAATCACATGGCAAGAATGACCAAAAAAGAGAAAAAAAGATCTTGCTAGTGGATGACTGCCAGGGCCAGTTACCTCCAAAGTGCATCATTGCCATTTGACTGTGGCTGGCAAAGGGTTCTCCTGTATCCCGCCACCACTGCAAGCCATTGTGAACTTATAAAAGTTTAATTGTGCTTTTTTTGCTGGGGGGGGGGGGGGAGACTGTGAAAACCACTGGTCAGTTCCGTCTTCACTATCTCAATTTACCTATCCCTGAGCAGTCCTGCCAAGGGTTACCAACAAAACATAATCTATGTCCCTGCCATAAAGAAATTATAGGCCCATCCAAAGCCACTCTAGAAACTAGATGTAAAAAATTACAGGATCAAGAAAGCACCCTTAGTAGCAGGACTATCAGAATTTTTTTGCAGGGATGAGTTTGTATCTCCCTGGTGCCCCTTCCATTTTTTCACTGTTCCTGAGGTGATACCATGCAAAATAAGTGTGAATGTCCAAGGGAGTGGGAGGGGTAGGGTAATTGCTATCAATAGGAGATTTTGGGAACAGAACAGTTGCAAAATGAAGGGGACACTGGAAATACATGGATTCCTCAAAAATATTCGTGGAGTCTTACTGCAAAGCAGGGATCTGAAGTCCCCTTTTCATAGGCAATGATCTTCCAGGCCTTTTGAAGTGCCTGACCATTCATTTTGACATGTCCAAGGTGTGTCAAAAGATGTGTGTTTAGGAAATATATTAACTTGCACCTGTGGAAGAGTAAATAACCTCCCCAGGGGAGGTTAAATTGCTGCTCTCATTTAACTGTTATCATGAGTAGCATATATGCACACTCAGAACTCATGAATTTGAAGTAGTGGATTGTAACATACCAAAGCTTATGCTGTAATAAATGTGTAAGTCATGAAAGTCTAATTATCCCTTTAGAAATAGTTACAAAAAGGCAAGCTCTGCAAATATTTGAAACAATCTGGAATTCATCTGGATGCCTTGAATAAATACTTACCTGCTGATATACCTACTGCAGCCTTGAATCCCTATCTCTCTTCTCTTATATCCTGACACATTTTTGCTGTAAAATCTATCATTCAAACAAGGTCCATACCAGATGCTCTGCTATGACTTTTATCTCTTGTTGCCCTTTAGGAGTAGAACTGCTTTCCTGAATGTCTGTGTGATGCAACCTCTCTTTCAAATCCCTCCACACCACACACCTTTTCCATAAAACTTTGGCACAACCCCCTAGTCTCCACAGACTGTAACAAAGCTTAAGGAAGTGAGGTTATAGCATATGATTTCCTCTGCCTCCATTTCAGTCCCTTTTCTCTGTTACCTGCCTTGTGTCTATAGTCTAGATCATAGCTGGAAAACCTATTTTCTCCCACCTCCTGGAGGACTGCAGCTAAGCTGAGGGAACCTGGAAGTCTGAAGGGATAGCAGATGACATCATCTCAAAAGATGGCATCAAAGAACACAACACAAGCTGTAGCTCCAAAGTGAGTCATGTAATTTGTTTGTGTTAGCTTCAAGATTGTTAATTCTGTCTTCTATTAATTCCCTTTTGACTGGAAGTTATAGCAATTAGTTATCACTGATGCAGGGGAATTCTGCAAATAGGAAGGCTAGCAATGCTTTGAAATGAAAAAAAAATAGTTCTGTGTGCATAATAGAATTATGGTTACAAGATTCTTTGAAAATCACATTCCACCAATTGCTATAATGAGCCATATGTCAAAATTGTTGGAGTATAGTGAGCAAAAAAGTATTGACAGATCATACAAACTGATAGGATTTGTGTCCTCCAACATCTTGTTGAAAAACATGTAATAACATTTGGAGGGTCTTTCTATACAGTCTTTACTGACTTTAAGCTGGCATTTGACATGATTTTGAGAGCAAGATGGGGAAAATATTTGAAGCAACAAACAGTGATAAGCACCTCCTAATACTGACATGCAGCTTATACTTCAATACTAGTTTGTGGATTAAATGTGATATGCTGGGACATCAGTTCCCAACTTTTAATGGGATAAAGCAAAGTGGTATACTGTGTTGCTGGCTGGGGAACTGAATTTAAGAATACAAAACATCCTATGGATCCTCAGATGCTGTCTATGGGACTACAGGATTCTCCCTGTGGAAAAGGAAAGAGATATTAGTCTATAGTATAAATGTGTGCAAGGAAGATGAAATATTGTAATAAGGTTATAGAGCACAATAGTAACAAGAAGCAAATGTAGAGATGACACATCCGTGTAGGGGAATGGCACTATTCAACCTATGTACAGTTGTTGCAGGAGGAAAGAATTGACACTTTTTTGGTCAGTTGTCTGCAGGGGTATGTAACAATTGCAAAACTTCTACCCATGCACAGTTCTCTGCATAATTGGATAGTCTGCTTTTCAAGGATTCCGGACTGTGCTGACGGAACTCTGCATATATGCATACACTTGGGTAGTCTCCCTTGACACATTGAACGGCAATGTGCACTGACTGAAATCTATGATTACCATCACAGTCTTACTCCCCTCTGTTTGATGTATGTGCAAAGACTGACATTGGCTAATCTGGCAGTACATGCTGATTATAGATAAAGATCTCCAAACACATGAAGCATTTTATTGATTTGCACTTTGGTAGCATTAATATTTGCAATACTGTAAACCTTTACAAGGCACCTAACTAAACACAAGCAACTTTATTTATGTTCTTTTTCTGTCTACTGAAGGATATTCTCACATGTCCTCCTCCTGATTCCTCTAGTCATTTCTTTATTAAAAGGCAGACTAACGAGCAGGATGGAGGAACACCACCATTTCTCTCCACCTAAGCTGAAAAATCCATTTGGGGCTTTAGTCGATCACCGGGCTGTATCTAATATGAATGAAAAATGTCATTTGAGAAGCCAGTCTCCTAAAGAAGCTGCCATACAAACAAAAAGCATTAGAATTTCCAGCAGAGGGGGCTATAGTGTAGTTTAACATGGCATGTTTTGCAGAGGGATTGGGTTTTGGTTTTAATTTTTTAGAAGGGCTAATAGTTGCCTCTGGGGCTAACTGTTTTGAACAAGATTTCAAACTGCTGCTGTCTGCCCAGCTCAATCCCAATCCTGATCTCTACCCTGCTATAGCCCACAGCAACTACTATTAATAATTTCTTTCATTTTAAATTTGTAAACTGCCCAGAAAGTCCTTTGGCCTATGGGGTGGTATATAAGTGTAATGAATAAATAAATAGGAGTGTTATACAATACTGTTGTGTTTCCTCTGCGTGCAAGTACACCATAAGAAACAAATGCGAACTGTGAAGAAAAATGCTGAGAAAGACTTACTCTACCTTCTGGAACTTATCATTACATGACT